AAAATTGCATAATTTAGTCCCTCCATCAATTAAGTCACACTTGACCATTAAAATATTCCAAAATGGCACTTTTTTTATGACATGTAATAACATATTATATAATTAGCTTATGTGGACAAAAAAATACCAAGTCAAATTCCACAACATCCATTGAACAATTTACAAATTAAAGGATAAAAATACAATTCTACCCACATTTTCATCCTTTTCGTGGTTCTCCTTCTCTCTCACTATTCATCTTCCCTTCTCCTCTACCATTGTTTATCTCCCCCTCCTTATCCTTTCTCTAGCCACTCACTTCCTCCCTTTTCCTTTCCTAATCATCCTAGCCTTTTCTCTCCTCCTCACTTTGAAAATCCAAAATCACTATATTTGAAAAAAAAAAAAAAAAAAAAAAACCATTTCTAGGTTCAACGAACATGATTTAGGTTCAAAAAAACTCATATTCAAGTGTCACAAACCTAGATTCTTCTAAGGATTTTTGTTGTTGTTTTTGATAGATTTTAATTGTCATTTCATTTTCAATGATTATGTGTGTTTTTAATGGTGTTTGTGTAGTTAATTAAAAAGGTCTGTTTTGTATCTTTAAGTTATTATATAGAGGGAAAGGGATAAAGGAAGGAGGAGGAGAAGGAGAAAGATGAAAGGAGAGAATGTCGAAGCATTGAATGAAAGAGGATGCAGAGGCAAATCCATATCATTTGGGTTCCCAAGAACCCTCCTTGGGTTCCTTATGAACCCAGCATTGGGTTCACAATGAACCTAGTTAATCTGGGTTTGCAATGAACCTAGGTCAACTCTAAGTTCTTCACAAACTTAGATCATCTTTGGGTTCACAACGAACCCAAAGTTAATTTTGGTTCTTCACTAACCTAGATTGTTTCTAGGCTCGTGACGAACCCAAAGGATCTAGGTTTGTCACGAGCCTAGTCATAGCCAAGCAAGGGGGATGAGGGGGAAAGGGAGAAGAGAAACAGTGACAAAGAGAGGAACAATGGTTGGAAACAATGGTGATGGCAAGAAGAACGCAAAGGGAGTAGAGGAGAACGATGGTAAGAAGAATAAATTAAGGGTATTTTAGTAATTTTATATTTAAAGAATTGAAAATGACAAAAAAATTTAAGTTGGCATTGTCCAGCAGAATTAATTGTATGATTTGTCATTAACATGTAATAAGAAATAAGGAAAACACCATGTGGATTGAGTTAATGAGACTAACTAATAGAGGGACTAAAATTGTACAGTTTTTAGAGTTAATTGATCAAAAAAGTGCATAAAATAGTTGAGGGACAAAAATT